ATTTGTCATTTTTACATTTTAGTTTTTATTTATCAATATGTTCTACCAATATTGCTATTTATTTAGTGTTGAAAAAAACTTTATCGAGTATCTCAAAAGTAAGTGTTCCTCGTGAAGTAGAAAGAATTTATTTTCGCACTTCATAAATAATTGTCCTTATTAGTGAGTCGATAAATAACCAAAAAAATGGATTGGACTGGCACACACAAGAGAATTGAATCGCAATACAAAACGAGTTCATGTCTTTTAGAGTGAAATATAACGTGAGACTTGGTCTAAGTCAATTGTACATAAGTTCTATGATATTAACAAATTAAAAGGAGGAATTTTGTCACTTTTTAAACGGACAATATATTTATTATATTTACCATCGTAAATGTCTTTTAATCTCTTCCTAAGAGTTTCTAACCTTTTTGCCTTTTTACTGACTCAAACTCACGATCTTATAATTGAAAGCAGAAGGTGGTTATCATCCGAATTAAAATAAAAATATGATTAATAAATATTCATATAGTCGACTCAAACTTAAATAAGAGTGAAGCATATTAGTTATATTATTGTTGTACCAAAAATAAAACTTTTATGTGTCCATGTCTCTATTCATGCAACATAAGCATGTCAAGAAAACAATTTATTTATTATTATTTTTATTGCAGAAAAATCCTCAACAAAAAGAAGAAATTGATAGTTTGGTTGTTAAGACTCCTTTGGGCCGGGCCGGAAAGCCCGAAGAGGTTTCAGCAGTAATAGCTTTTCTTTGCTTCCCAGCTGCTTCTTATATTACGGGCCAAATCATATGGGCCGATGGTGGATTTACAGCTAATGGTGGGTTTTAAGTGTTATTTTCTTTGGGCTTTGTAATCTTTTTCTATTTTTTGTAATTTGTATTTTGGGCCTATTATCGGCCCATTATGCTTTGAACAATGGAAAAATTACTCAAATACACAACACTTCTTTACCTATTTTTAATATTTCTCTACTCTTTTACTAAAATACAAAAATCCCTTATTTTCCGCCAATTCAACTTAACCGGATACTTTATTAGTTTAAGTATCCGCCCGTTATTAATTAAAGTATCTGCGCTGCTATATTATGCATCCGCCCGTTAATTAAGTATCCGTGCTACTAACAACTTAATAATTTAATTACCCGCCCGTTATTAATTAAAGTATCTGCACTGCTATATTATGCATCCGCCCGTTAATTAAGTATTCGTGCTGCTAACAACTTAATAATTAAAGTATCCGTCCGTTATTAATTAAAGTATCCGCGCTGCTATATTAAGTATCCACACTGCTATATTATGTATCCGAAAAACACTAAAAAAAGGGATTTTTGGTAATTAATGAAAGAGTAGGGAAAGGAAGTAATTTCTTTCTTATACTATGTCATTTGCCTAATTTTTACTTGAACAATTTCTATGTCCATGTGCTTGTGTTCTTCAACTACTCACTTCCATTTTCACGTGTTTGTTATTTGGCTAACCTAGAGAAATTTCACTAGTTTAGAAGTTAACTATTTAGATATATGCTAGATTGCAATATTATGAATTTTATCAAATTTTGGTGCGTCTAGATACATATATCTCGAGATAAATTGGGGAAAAGTTAGTTGTACTGTGTTCAAGATACAATGTATCCAAGTGAATTCGCGTGTATATGAGATATATAGACAAATCTCGCTCACCTCCCTTCCATCTCGCACGTCACCTCTCCTATGTATCTGGTATCCCAGTTACATATGACTCACATCATATACATACAGATAATGTGCGTCTAGTGTGATTAGCATGTATATGAGATAAATAGACAAATCATGCATGCCTCCATCCCATCTCGCTCACCACTTTCCTATGTATCTAGTATCCTAGGTACATGTGAATTACATCATATACATACAGATACATATATGTAGTGTGTATCTAGTGTGATTAGCATGTATTTGGAATACATAGATAAATATCGCTCGTTTCTCTCATATTCTTGCTCGCCTCTCTCCATATTTCAATGTATCTGGTAGCAAAAAACATATATTTATAATTAAACATGTATATGTTATATTTACTAACTCTCCCTATAGTTTGAAACATGATTGTGTTTTGTTCTTTAAACACCTACCACAATTATTATAGTTATAGACCACCATGTATGTTTTCCATTACAATTTGGAACTTAATCATAGCCATTCAATCTAAACTATTGAATTATTGACAGGCAATTTCAAATAACAAATTTATTTTTTGATTCACAATCACGGATGATTATATATATTAGAGAAAAGAAATAAAGTCACCATTGAAGTTGTCCTCGAATTTCAAAAAGACACTGTAACTGTGCGGGTGTCCTATTACTCACTAAAGTATTTCCAACAACTATAAATACACCCTTTTTACAACTTTTGTAATCTCATAGCTTGTGCATGTGTTTCACCTCAAATAAAATAATATAATTTTATTTTTCTTACTCATTTAATAATGAATTGGGTAAAATCCTAACTCACTCACATTTTGATCCTCAAAATCTTCTGGGTCAAGTTCAAAAGCACAAACAAGTTGTGAGTACAAACTCAAAAACTTCAATGTAAATGGGTGCATTAACTAATTTGGGTTTAATAGATACAAATTGTTCATGAAAATGGTCTTGACGAGTTGTTGCATCGTTGAGGAAAGAATTCAAAGGCATTGAGATAATTTTGGAGTTTCAATTGATGGGTTCTTTTTAGCGTCGTACCGCTGTAGTGTTAAGGTTTTGCCTTGATTTTCTTATCTTTTTTTAAGTTTATTTTTTCCAAAAAGAAAAGACAAAACATTACCATAAATGTTTTTACTTTTAATGAAAGGAAAATATAATTCTCTTACATATTTGGTTTATTCTTTCCTTAAAGGAAAAGTATGGAATGCTATAAATTGAAGATCCCTATTCTCATATAAAATAAAACACGATAGAATACACAATGTAGTCATTTAGAGAGTCTTGTTTATGAAACATATTTATGTTTCTTAATATTAATTTCATAATATGTAGGTCGTTTGACTAAACTATATTAATAATATGTTTTTAGCATGCTTTTATTTGTCGTCCTAATCACTTTTGAACCCAACAAGTAGCTCTATTTTTTGTTGTTGTTGCAGAAGACGAAGATGGAATGAGCTAAAATGGAGTTTTTGCAGAGGTGGAAAATGGAAGATTTGGATATGAGACTTTTGTGGAATCCTTTGTTTTCACTGTTTACATAACAGTGAAAATTTTCACTTAGGAATCCTATAAATCTTCTTATATTCTTAAGTAAATATGAAATTGTTCTTCAACAACCACCATGAAAGGCATTGACCAAGAAATTCTCTGTTTCTTGAACTTTTTTAGAAAATGGAGGCTTACAATCTTGCTACATGGCATTTTTAGATTGGTTTGGGGTGATTTTTTTGTCATTCACGCACCCCCAATACGTGAGATTACACCTGCTCTGAGAATGGGTTAAAATGGTGTATTTATAATCGTTAGAAATAGTTTTGTGGAGTAATAGGACATCCGCAAAGTTAAGGTGTCTTTTTTAAAATTCGGGACAGCTTCAGTGGTGACTTTATGTCTTTTCTCTATAGATTATTATAAACATATTACAAAGTTCTTGGTCCCGTTATGACATATTTTGTCATAATTAATATTTTGCAATTGAAGCAAATTTTGATTTTCGTTTTGCTTGTAATATCTACTTTATAGCCACCACATGTTGTCACTTAATTTAATAGGCACATTAGAAATAGACATAATTGATAACACGTTAGCTAGCCTAAGCTTATAAACTATCGGTATGTATAAGTTAAAAGTTAAAAAAAATTATCGTCAATTAGTTTAATCACCAACGCTAGCTAATGGCTCAAAAAGGCACAGAAATTGAACAAAATTTCTAGAAGGGTAATATTTGGATGGAGGGATAAATGACGTTAAAATATATATTGTAAGGCTCATGTTGCCAAAAAAAGCCTTACAACATACATTTTTATTTCGTGTTAAATCAAAACGGGAGAGTATATCTTTATAAAATAAAGATTATTTTTATTTTCAAATCAAATTATCAATGATGAACAATCATGGTTTTTTTAGATAACAAACTATTTCACAGGATATTGAAAGATTAATGACATGAAAGAGACATTTATCTGCTTACACTGTTATTTAACAAAATTATAGAAGTTATCTTTTAATACTCTACTACTACTAAAGTAGTATGAATTTAAGTTACGTGCACCGTCAATTTATTAATTTTTTAACTCCAATAATGAATTAATAATTAAAAAATGATATAATAAGCATGTTATATCTAATTCTTTGAAAATCTTCAACATTTACTACAGTCCCATTACAAATTGCAACTTAACTATAATCATTCAATCCAAATTAATTACGTAATTGATTCACATCCACAAATTAGAAGGACAATTCTTGTGGTATCATTTCAAACTTGATTTATAGACAACCACATAATGTTACTTAAATTGAACAAATACGTGGAAGGTTAGACGTAAGTTAAATTTAAACTTCACTCAAAAATAGCTTATTAAAAATATTTGAGAATTTATGGTTAAATGCTATATATATATATATATATATGGACGATATATATAAATTAAATCTTAAATATGTATAGTTAATTATTAGTGTAATAGCCAATAATGCTTTAACTTTTGTGAATTAAGAAAATACATTCTCAATATCATTAAAGTTTATTTAACATGTTTATTTCCTATGCTTATGCTAGAGTCTAATAAGCGACTAATTAACTTGTACAAATTGAAATAGGTTGAACTATTCATGATTTTATAGATTAATTTTATTTCCGTATAGATATTTATTGAATCGATGTAAAGATATAAATCAATGTGAACCGTTCACACACGCTATGAAACCATTTTCTCTTCATATATATATAAAGTGACTCCAAACCTTACCTTACTTTTAAGATTTTTCACAATATAATATTAATAATAAATAAATAAACCAGAAATGGCACAATTGAGAAACAAGGAGGAAAAATTGAGAGAAAAATGGAGTCTCAAAGGCACCACTGCACTTGTTACTGGTGGCTCCAAAGGCATAGGGTGAGTTTCAAAATTTCCCTATAAATCTTTCGAAATCATCTACGAAATTTATCGGTAATTTCTAGCTAACTCGTTGTTAAAAAAATCTTAGTTGATTGAATTTTCTTATAACATATCGGCAATCATAGCCAAATTGGGATAAGAATGGATCTTTTGTTGTTTAGCTACGCAGTTTTGTTTGTTGACATACTTTATATTATTTTTCCATATGTAGGTTGGTATTGGGGTAGAAGGTTAGTAGGGTGGAGAGTTGTCTTGTCTTGCAAATATTTAATCTTGCTGGTGCTTGTCATAGTACTAACCGTACCCTTGTAGTGCTTGTCATATGTTGTTTATTGTGTTTTCAATTATCACACTATTTTATTGTTGTTATCGTTTCTTTCTCGTAGATTTTATACCGTACTTTTTATCAATTGCTATGCTTTCTTCATGTTTTCTTTCACTTTTACTTGAATTTGATGCACTTGAGTCGAGAATCTTTCGAAAATAGTCTTTCTACTCCCCGAAATAATAGCAGGGTCTACATACACTATGTCTTTTCTAGACCCCACCAAAACCATTTGCCAATTCACATTAAAACATTATATTTTTTAAGTATATAATTTTCTTTTGTGATCATTTGATTTATCGTCATCGTGATCTTGTAATTGTTTTTAGGTATGCTATAGTGGAAGAATTGGCAAATTTTGGAGCAAGAGTATATACATGTTCACGTAATGAAAATGAACTTCAAGAATGCCTTGAAATTTGGAGAAAAAAAGGACTTGAAGTTGAAGGTTCTGTTTGTAATTTATTATCTCGTACTGAACGTGAAAAATTTATGAAGACTATTGAAAATATATTTGATGGGAAGCTCAATATATTGGTAAAGACTTTTATTTAATCTCATTTATATTATAGTTCCGTTTTGTTATGGGATGATTGAGATTCTTTCACTTTTAACTAGAGGTTTCATATTTGAGCTTCTAGATATGAAAGCATTTTGTTTGGGATCAGTAGTGCCCCAGAATGGACCCTATAACGTAATAGTCAGATATCAAACATAGGATGAGAAAAAAAAAAGAACCACTCTCTATTTTTTCAAAATATAAAAACCACGCGTTCTAGGAAACACATTTCCAACGGAATCCATCGAAAATGCGTTTGTGGAAAATTATTTCCGTCAAAAAGTCATGATTTCAAGAGAATTTCTAACATTTTTTTGAAGGACTATGTCAGGAATTAGTCGACTTATCTACAATGTTTCTAATGGATTTTTCGTCAGACACTTGATAATTGACTTCTTGAAAATGTTTCTGACAGATTTTTCGTTCAAAATCCCAATATATTAATGACTATGGTTTTCCAATGGGAACGTCTATTGAAAATTTACATTTTTCTAGCTAGTGGTGAAATAATTTATTAAATAAAATTAAACTTTTATGGAATTATAATTAGTCGTAACAATTGTTTGACTAATTTTAATTTGTTCATGATTAATTAGGTAAATAATGCAGGAGTAGCTATATATAAGGAAATTAAAGATTACACAGAAGAAGATTACAACATAACTATGGGAATTAATTTTGAAGCTGCTTATCATTTATCTCAAATTGCTTATCCATTATTGAAGGCTTCTCAAAATGGAAATATTATTTTTGTTTCTTCAACTACTACATTTTCAGCCATGCCTTCTCTGTCTCTTTATTCTGCTTCTAAAGGTAATGTTTTCTATTCATCATTTTTACTTTTCCGAGGGTCTTTCGAAAATTGTCTTTCTACCTCTATGAGATAGTGATAAGATCTGTGTATGCTCTATCCTCTCAGACCCTACTTATTGAGATTTCATTGAGTATGTTATTATTATTATTATTGTTGTTGTTGTTTGTTACGGATCTGAATTTGGATAGTCAAAATTTTAAATATGAATATTATGGATTCTTTAATTCTTTTGAAATGAAATTTATATATTTAAAAATAGAAATAACCTTGGGACCCTTTGAAGTTGGTATTTCGAAAGTCTTGACCCCTCGACCTTAACTAATTCCATGTACACATCAATGAGGTCTATTAATAAATGGGTCGGGTTGAAGGGTCAATCTTTTGAAATACCAATTTCATGGGGTAACTAAGAAATAAATTAATTCAGGTGTGTATCGATAAATGATTCCAACTTTAGTGGAGTCTCAACTTTTTTTTATAATTTAAAAATCATATAAAAATACTATAAAAATATTTAAACTTTAAATGACAAGTGAAATAATTACAGTTAATAAAAAAGGGTTTGAAATTCAAACACCGCCGCATAAATTGAAACAACAAAGGACCATACATATTGAAGTAGTTACTGTAATGTTTTAGTTATAAGGAATTATAGTTTTCTTACTTGATATAAATTTGAACTAATAAAGTTAATTATAGATATCAAATAGTGGAAAAAGAATACTATAAATTTCCATAAACTTCCATTTTATTTATTTGTATAGGAGCAATAAATCAAATAACGATGAATTTGGCTTGTGCGTGGGCCAAGGACAAAATTCGTGTTAATTCAGTTGCACCAGCATTAATTTCAACTCCACTCATTGAAGCAGGAAGTGTAAGTTTCGATTTCGAGCTATAGGTATAAAAAAATCCTTAATAAATAATATTTTCTTGAATAAGTTTTGAATTTATTGAATTCTCATATGAATATCGGGAAAAAATCTAGTTTACTAACATGATTGAAATACACATAATATATATATTGTGTATATTTTAATCATATTGATAAACTATTTGAAACGATATCTATTCTAACATTTTTCCTTTTTGTACTTTTTAAATCTAAAATCTTAGACCAAACACTTTAATCCTCTAAAATAAATTTTATTTTTTTCTCAGAAACTTCATCAAACATGCTATAATTAAAATAATTGATTTTTTTTATATCTATTTTTTTTTTAATGTTCTACTTTATTGCAGAAAAATCCTCGACAAAAAGAAGAAATAGATAAATATATTTCTCGAACTCCAATGGGCCGGATCGGAAAGCCCGAAGAAATTTCGGCCCTAATAACCTTCCTTTGTTTCCCTGCGGCCTCATATATAACGGGCCAGATTATATGGGCCGATGGTGGATTCACTGCTAATGGTGGATTTTAAATAGGGAACTTTCGGAAATAGCCATTATAATAAATTTAATTATGCTCCATAGCTATAGTTTGCATATTTACGAGTTGTAGCTACAATTTAAGCTGTCTCGTTTGTATAATTAACAGGTTTGTATAATTTGCGGGTACATTTGTATAATTCAGTTATTTTTGTATAAACTCGAAATAACGAATTGATACAATTACAAACATCTGAAGAGTAAATAGTTATACAATTTATATTATACAAAATTACATTATACAAAAGTTATACAAATGATATTACACAAATTCCGAATTATACAAACGTGTGAATTATACAAAAATAAAAAGTTGAGCCGCGTAATTATAGCTAAAAGTAAGTTGCGGATTATAATTAAGGCAAACTATAGTTATGTTAACTAATTAACTAATATATGTTTGTTTATACACGTAATTTTCTCTTTTAAGAAAAAATGCCTTATTAATATATGTTTATATTTGGATTTTAACCCCTTTTCAGGAGTTTTCACCGTTTAGCTCTCTCTCGATGACTCGAATTCATAATCTTATTAATATATCTTGTTTCTTTTCTATTGCATTTATTATTAATAATTATTAGTTTTGGAGTTTAAATTAGAACTATTACCTTGCTTATTATAGCTTTGAACGACTTTCATATAAAAAAATTACGAACATTCTATATATCTTGACATAAGTTAATTAATTTGTTTCACAAATTTCACAAGCGTTATAGCTGTACAATTATTTTGATATTTTTAATATCACAAGTTTTATAAGATTTCATTCAAATTATCTCACTAACATGTGCTACTTTTTATTTTTTGGTTTATAAAAAGGGATAGTTCATTAATGTTACTTGAAGTGAAAGTGCTTCAAATATAAGCTATTTTGTATGAGTGCTAGAAGTACAAATAATTTTTGACTTTTGATGAAATTTACTTGCAATTGTTTTAAAAGTAATATAATAGCTTGAAATGACATTGCTTTGCTTTTGGTGCAATTCATATTTCAACAACTTCTGTGTTTGCCTCATCCTTTACACTTTGTTTGATGGTTTGTACGTATTATATTCTCGTATTATATTGTATCGTACTGTATTGTATTATTATTTTTTTTTGAGAATCGTATTGTATTGTATTATTTTAATGAATACAGTGATTGGATAGAATGAATCGTTCTTCGTCGTTACATAAAGTCACACATCCATAATTTGAGTAATAAACTTATAAAGAAGAGTAGGGTATGGAGTAAAGCTATTATTAAAAAGTAGGATAAAAGACGAAATATTATTTTTAAATAATAAATTAAGATAAACACCAAACCGATCGTTACACAAAACGAGTCTATTCGTCGTTATCTAACGATAGATTTAAACGATACGATGCAATAAAATTTAAGTAACAATCAAAACAAACATCGTATTATAATGGGATAAGGGTCTGAAAAATATCTCAATTTTGGTCAAATTTGTTGTTGCGATACTAAACTTTCATGAGGACCTATTACCTCTCTAGACTATTTAATACCGTATTTTAAACATATATATTTGCCCACGTGGACATAAAAAATAATGCAAAATTATAAATAGTAATGTGTCCACGTGGGCACATATATATACCTTTAAAATACACTATTAAATAGTTCATGGGGTAAAACATACAGTATTAAATAGTCTAGGGAGGTAATAGGTCCTTGTGAAAGTTTAGTATCGCAACAGCAAATCCGATCAAAGTTGAGATATTTTTCAAACCATTATCCCTATTATAATTAACAATACAATACAATACAATACAATACTAACAACCATTCAAACAAGGTGTTAAGCATGTGTAACTCTTTCTTTTGTTCATAAATCCATTGACTCATAGAATATAGCAATATATACAAATCCATCATACAACCATGCACAATTGAAAATATGAAAAAGGACAATAATTTCATTAATTAGGTGTGTGAGAAATACCTTTAAGATTGTCTTACTAGTGCCTATGAATTAGAGGACATTCACTAACCTAAAACATTATATTATTCTATACTCTATTGTACTTTGGTATATAGTCTTATCATATATTTCTATTGTACTTGGTATATAGTCTTATCATATATTTCTGCGAAGACTATTTCTACGGTTTGAATAATAATACAAATTAGTTTAGTATAGTAAAAGAAAGAGAGATTATTTTGGATGATACTAACCTTTAATAGTTTTAGATTTTAATCTCTTTCTCATTTGTAAATCTAAAAGAGGCAAGAACTGCAATTATAACAATATAAACTTCTATATGAATACATGTATATATAGTTCTGGACTTCGATTAAAGAAAACCCTAAACCAAATTTGACCTTATTAAAAATATTTATATCTCAACAAATAAACAAAATAGAAGTTCTATGGTAGCACATGAAAAGTAGTGTTCTAGATTCTAATCAAAGATACAACTTATAATTATAACGATGACATATTTAGTGAAATTTTACAAATAGAATCTGAAGAAAGAGGTTTGTACGCAATCTTACCTTGTCTTATGAAAGTAGAGAGTAATCAAAGATACTAACTTTAAAAACATAAAACCCTAACCTTATAGAGTAAAAAATTAAGAGACGTGTAAAATAAAAATAACGATAATAATTAGTGCTAGTAATTAACATAAAAAGATGTTAATTAAAGTACTTATCTTGATTTTCAAGGAGCTGTTTGTTTGAGGTGATAGAAAATGAGTGTAAGGAATGAAGCCTGGTCCGAGATCACTCCATTAATTATTTATTTGTATCACTAAATTAAAAAAAAAAGAGAAAAAAATCTAGTAAAAATATAAGTTGGACGATATTGAAGAACAAAAAAAATAAATCAAGAACCAAACACAAAAAAAAATGGTTAAAGAATAAGAACAAAAAACAAAATAGAAGGATATTGTAAAAATGAAGACAACAATAATAACAATATATTCAGTATAATCTCACAAGTGAGAATCTAGAGAGCATAAAGTGTACGCAAACCTTACTTTTATGATTAGAGGTAGAGAGATTATATATGATAAATCCTCGGTTCAAAGAAAAATATATAAAAGAAGATCGAAAAATATATTGTAAATATGAATAAAGAGAAGAAAAATAAAAAAAATGGAAGGATCTTGGATCAGTCTTCATTCCAAACACTTCATTTTCATTTGAATTTAATTTAATTCTCTCTTTGATATGATTTAGCAATGAAGAGAGAGTATATATAAATAAAAAAAAAGCTGCAGAGACACTCGATTTCTCAATGATCAAAAGCTTCTATGTATAGCTCAACATCATATAGTAGTTGAAAAAGTGGAGAATTAGGGGTAGAGGCGAAACTAGGTGGAATTTATAAGTTCAAATGAATTCATTAACTTTTTTGTATATCTTATATTTGTATTAGAATTCTCAAATTCTTAATTTTGGCTCTGCCTCTGATTAGGGGGGTTGTTTGGTTCGAAGCAAAATGTTTTTCTAAAAAATATTTTTCGGGTATTAAGTGGATTTGTCTTTTTTAGGAAAAAATTATCTAAATACACAACTTAATTTATTATATTTTCTAAAATTGCATATCATTTGAAAAAATTACAAAAATATCTACTTTACGCAATGTATTGTCGGATACATCACCTTACGCTATGTATTGATTAGATACATCACTTTAGATGTAGCAAGACGGTACTTTACAAGATGTATCAGTCGGATACATCACTTTACACAGTTTATACGATGTATCGGACGGATACATCATTTAGTGCAATGTATCGGCTGGATACATTATTTTACGCGATGTATTGGGACATACGTGATGTGTCGGGACGTTGAACAATATATTCGAAATTGAGACGCGACGTATCGAAACATTTTGGAATATATCACATTCCACCAAATTTAAGGGGTTTTTACAATTTAAAAAAAATAGAGATAGAATGTAATTAACTTTTAATACTACGAAATTTGTGTAAAATTGATTATTTTTTAATGTTTGATAAGTAAACAAGAAAATATAGCTAATTCTTGTTATTGAAAACTTATCAAAAACCTCTTCCTGTTATTGTAAATTGAAGAAAAATCACTCCTTTACATGAATATTTTTGATAATTTCTTGGGGTATGATATTCTTAAAATGGATTTTTAAATTCTAAAAATGTCACTTGACTTCCATTCATTTTTTACGTACTCAAATCCAACCCATTTTTTTATTTAAATATCAATTCTTCATCTATTAGGAATTATTATTATTTTCCATTTGGATTGGTCGGATCTAAAGTGTAAAAAATAGGTGAAATAATTTTAAAAAGTTGTGAAAGTTTTTAATTAAAAGGTCAGAAGTATACATTTTGTAATTAAGTAAATATAGATATGTTAATAAATTGTTAGCCGACAGGAGTATATATATATGAGAAAATTTTAGAAATAGCAAATATAATAGACATAAAAATGCCTTATACCCATAGTTTTGATAATTGCGCTACATATATATAGTTCTGTTTGCTGTGGAATCTGCAATTTGTTTCTGCTTGTTTGTATATTTCGTTTGTGAATATACAAATATGATAAGTATATATATAAATTTTGTATTTATACATTGAAGAAATTTTCAGAACTCTATTTATATAGGAGTATTTCGTTTGTCAATCGACAAACATGATAATTTATTATGAAGCTTTCATAAATCGTATACAAATAATTAGAGTAAGCATATATACAAAATTCTAGATTTATACAAATCAAACAAATACTACAAATAAGACTAATAGTAAAAATTGGGGAAACTGTAATCATAAATTACAATTCTCTTAAACTATAGCTATACTATAGAATTTAGACTAAATATTTGTTATTATGTATAATTTTCCTATTTTTTTAAAACAAAGAATGTATCTGCTCTAGATTGCAAAATTAATATTTACACCTTTTTCCCTATGGTAAATTGAAGAAAAAACATTCCCTTTATATGAATATTTATGATAATTTCTTGGTGTATGACAGTGAACATTGTACTTTTTA